AAAAAAAAAAAAAAACCAGGAAAAATGGGAAATGTCACCCTAACATGAAAAATATGAAAAAAAGACTTGCAAATTTTACACCTTTTTTTCTTTGAAAAAAAAAAAAGGTAGGAAAGCGATCGGAATAGTATTTAGAAACAATACCTTGAATATTTCGACATTCTGTAGTCTAGATCGCTCCCTACAGGTTGATAAGTGTAGGGTTGGTCGTTGGGTCATCGTTTCTTCCTTGCTACCTTTCTCAGGAGGTGTAGGGTAGAGTAACACGGGTAGTGGACTACCAAATAACTGATTATCAACCTATAACCACGAAAAGAAAAATGGTTGTGCACTTTACTTTGCTGYTTGTATTTGTAAAAATTTAGACACTCAGAAAAAGACTTTTAATTATTTCAATACAATTACGTGGACCAATAACCAATTCATTTTAAAAATTTCAGGAGATAGCAAAATCAAAATCATATAAAAAGACAGAGAATAAGGCTACCATTCAGAAATGAGTCTGTAATCAAGGAATACAGCGGTGATTCTATGAGTTAGTAAAATTATTGCTTTAAAACAATACCTGTAGTCGGCCAATTGTGACTTCAAGTGACTCCAGTTTCGAATTTCGCAAATAGTCGATCTGGAAATGTGTAAATAGGATTGAGTTTAATAATAAGACCGTCATTTCTATTGATTAGTTCAATCAGCTGAAGAAATCTTGTGGATCTCATTACCAGCCTACGATGACAGGGAAACACTGCCCGGCATGTGCTATCAACCAGAGAGTATTCTATTGGTTAGTTTCAATCAGCTGAATGAATCTCATGAATATCATCACCAGCCTAGGGAAACACTGCCCGTCATGTGCTATCAACCAGAGAGTATTCTATTAGTGCTTGGTATCATTCAACCGAATGAATCTTATTACCAGCATATATAATGACTGACAAACACTGCACGTCATGTGCTATCAACCAGAGAGTATTCTATCGATGCTTGGTATCAATCAACCGAATGAATCTTATTACCAGCCTATATAATGACTGACAAACCCTGCCCGTCATGTGCTATCAACCAGAGAGTATTCTATCGATGCTTGGTATCAATCAACCGAATGAATCTTATTACTAGCATATATAATGACTGACAAACACTGCCCGTCATGTGCTATCATCCATGAACATTTCTAGTGAAAAAATCCATACGTGACCGGAAATGACGTATTCTTATGACAAACAGTAAAGCCTACCTCTATCTGTTCCAGTGCACCATAGACCAGTTCTTCAGGCACAGAATTGATAACAGACACGCCAATCCCTCCAGCCAAACGAACCTGCATTTCCAGATCATAACTATCTTCTTTCGCTTCAAGTGAACATACTGTAGTCTGACGCATCCCGCCTTTCTTCTCCACTAGTAACCAGTCCTTCTCGGATTCATCCTACAGAAAAGAAGATGAAAGGAATGACATTTACAGTCAACTCACGCCTTGCAGACTATGTACTTATTGACTGAGTGGGAGGGCCGTACGGGAAAATATTTGGCTCGAGATGATGACCGAGAGCCAAATATTTTCCCGTACGGCCCAACCTAACTCAGTCAATAAGCATTTTATCATATGACCCTCACGAAAAGAAAAATAATAATTAAATAAATAAATAAATATATAAAGAAAGAAATAGTAAATAAAAGCTAAAAACGAGAAAGCGCGTGGATTCGAGCAGGGCCGTACGGATTCTTACGGCCCTGCTCACGTCATTTTCCCGAATGTTTTTTTTTAAGAGCGCGCGCCCGGGCAGATACGGGTCGTATGATAAATCCCAATATTACGGACACCTTGCTATTACGGACAGGAGAAAAATCCCCGACAAAGAAACTATTTCGGACACCAAGTGACGGTCCCGAGGGTGTCCGCTGTAACGAGAGTTGAGTGTTTTTTTAACGAACTCAACAACTCCCGAAAGCAAACCGCTTCTTTATAAAGAAAATGAAAGCGTGGAAACTGATTCTAATTGCAGATGAAAAAAATTGAAAGAATTTTTGTTTCCGGTACAGCGGAAATTCTGATTGGCTAAAAATCCTTGTGACTTATGACGTATTACCCGTGAAGCTGAAAACGGGAGCAGCTTATGACATAGTAAAAACCAGAAACGGAGTCGGTGCAAGATTTTTCAGTGCTAGTGGTGTGGACACGAGTTAAAAACATCTGCGCATGCTCTGAATCCGTATGCAAATTAGTCAAAACATAAGTAAATTTGACTTTCAAACATGTCTGATAAATTGGACTTCACAAAATGCCAAAACTTAGTGTCTATGCTTAACACATAAGGCTAATTCTTTCATATTGTGTTTGTTAATACAGTTTCTTGGTCTGACAAAAGTATACTCTCGAACGTTTTTGTATACTTGGAGAAAACGAACATTTATTTTCTCACTCAAACTCTTCAAAATTCTTAGAAAACGTGCTGAAGTTCACGCATGCGCAAATATTTTTCTCTAGTGTCAGYGGTGTGTGGTAGGTACCTGTTGAAGGCTATCACTGATGCGTAGTACTCGAGTAGGTCCATCAGGCATGACTTGTACTGCTATACAACCAGACCCTGGTCTCATCTTACACGTGGTTATACACTGTTCTATTGGGATGTGATCATTCTTGGTTATGTTGGCTGGGCCAAGGACTGCATCTGCACCTGTAAACATGGAAAGAAAGATTAAAGAATATTATAGAAATATTATAGAATACTATAGAATATTATAGAATATTATAGAGAACAGTAAACTAATATTCATCACCGTTTTTATCGAACCCTGAAACAACCTCTGGGCTGAACAAATTCAGGGCATAACTCAAAGATAGAACCCTGAAACCGCTGGGCCAATCTAAGTCAGGGCACGACTAACTCACAGATCAAACCCTGAAACAACCTCTGGGCTGATCTAAGTCAGGGCATGGCTAACTCACAGATCAAACCCTGAAATAATCTTTGGGCTTCTCCATATCAGAGCCCAGCTAACTCACAGATCGAATTGGAATTAAACGTATTAGATTTTACAGGAGAAGAAAAACCGGAGAATTTGGGGCAAAACCCACGAAAAAAGTGAGAAACGTAATAAACTTGACTCAACCGTGAGTCAAGGGATGTAACCTCAGACGCTAGATGTGAGGCGAGTACGCTACCTCTACGCCCCCCCCTTGATTCTTATCAAAGTAAACAGAGTAAAATGTGTCAAGATTATGTCAAAGTGGGACAAAAAATGTACGAACAAAAGAGGTTCTTACCATTGAACAGTCCAGCAAAGCCATTTCTTGGTTGTACGAATAATCCTGGAAGATCACAGTTCATTCTACCGTCCTGTGTTCAAAAGGAGTCATTAATTGAAGACAAAAAAAAAAAAAGGCACTTGGTTTTGTTGTGTGCTGTGACGCGTAGCGGAGTGTTTCTCAACCGTTCCAGAGTGTTGGCAATCCCCAACAGTTGCAGATATGTGTGGTCTCCGCTGAGCTTAGTTAAAAAAAAAAATTCCTCCCCCACCTTATGCTTCTTTTATTGCTGACAATCCCAACCAATGCCAATTTRGACACAAGGTTTAGGACTCGCAGAACTTGGGTTTTGAAACAATCTTATGCAACCATCTTATGCAACCCTTTTTGCTTCTTAACAGTTCTAGAAAGTTGCCAATCCCCAAACAATGCAGATTTGGACCCACGATGTAGGCACACTGCCCCCCCCTCCCCCCTTCTCATCTTATGCCGACATTTGAAGGATGTTAAACAGTAGTCAACTGCATGTTGCATAAGCTGTTCCTTACTTCAGTGAATGACCAGGTCTGTGAATGTTTCCTTCGAGGGTTTGGTTTACTAAGAACGAGACGCACGTATTTGCCACAAGTAGGCGGGGCCAGGCTGTCAATATCCAGAACAAGTCCAGTATTACTGGATGAATTCTTGCGTGGATCCGTGGGCGGTGACGATCCTTCGTGGCGAAGCTGTCCACCTCCCGTCAAGCGCCACAGCTGAGAGCGCTTTAGTGGTTCCTGTAGTAACACAATGAACAATAAGCCTGCCAGCAATTATGGATTATTAAGTGGGGGAATGAAAAGGTGAGTGGATGGATGGATG